TGTGGCTACTAGAAGACAGAAGATAATACAAGAAAAGTCTCTATAATTGTAACTACTCCTCACCACCATTTACAAGTGGCAGATAAATTCAAAAGATAAGGTATCTAATTTCAAAAGAAGTGGTCCACCCAACAAGAAGACAATGAAGAATTCGATGGAGATAAGATGGCCTAGCTACCCAACAAAGAAAAAAGGAAGACATCTATCCAAGATAAGATTCCAAAATCTCCTATAAAAGGGGGCATGAAGGAAGGAGGAAAACATCTCGAAATACCTTGAAATAATTTCTCTTAAACACATTTGAGGGAAACCTTTTGTAATCTGTATACACTACTTGTATTCAGAAAAATATTAGATAGCTTGAAGATAGGAAAGCGTGTAATAAGGTAATCACTTATGGAGTTCTAAACTTCATAAGGTGAGTACCAAAGGTATGTAAATATAGTTTGTAAGCATGTACAATTTCAGTTTATGAATATTAAAGTAAAGTTTGTCATGTTCAACAAAGCTTTTATAAAAGGATTTCGTTAAGTTTCTCAAGATTCCTCGGCAGTACAGATAGAGATTTTAAAAGATTTTTAAAATAATGATTTTGAATGGATGTTAGCCATGCCAAAGTACCCGTATTTGATAAATGGCTAGGGGAAAAGGCAGTTTTCTAACAAAAATTTGTAGCACCTTGTGTGTGAGTTATCTTTTAAAATTTCGTTCCAAGTAGGGACTTGATTCTGAAAAGAGTTTGGATAGAGGTGAAAACAGAGACTCTGGATACTGTGAGATAGCGTCTGTGGAAACACGACTAGTTCTCGAGAGTGAGAAATGCAACCTTAATTGAAAAGCCTTTTTGCTGAAGCAGTTGTGAACCCAAATGATTTCAAAAACATTTAAAATCTTTACTTGATTCAGAAGATTGATTAAGTACATGCAAAACATCTATAAGAGCATACTGGTGGGAAAGCCTGTTTATTTCCAATTGATTACTGTAAGTTATTCATTTATTTTTACATGCTTATGCTTTAATTATTTTCATGAACAATTTACAAGCATTCACTTTCACTACTAATGATGGTAATAATCTTATTTTATTTCTAGATGAAAAAGATGTTTTGTTCTTACTTAAACTAGATAAAAAATCTGATGATATATTTCCTGTTGGTAGAGAAAAAATAGAAGAAATATACAGAGATATAGATTATAATTGTAGAAATAATATAGGATTTGATCCTGTCGGAACTAGCAGAGAAATAAGAAAAGTAGAAGATATTATAACTAAACATACAAATATACAAGAAGAAATCTCAGAAGGATTATTTAAAGGATACATAACCAAGAGAGGTCAACCTATAATCTTTGAAGAATTATTAAAATATAAAGAATATTTAAAAGTGTTCAAAAGATTGAAAAATATTGATATAGGACCTGATTGATAAATTCTTAAAGATATAAGATAGATCTTGCAAATAATTTCATTAAGGGCAACATAGTACTTTTAATAGGAAAGGCTATTGTGGAAAATAGGAAGAATTTCCCAGCTATTCTCAAAGTTATCCCCTTTTAACTGCTGCCATTACTCTTCATCGTTCAACCGCTTTCGATTGAATTCCTTGAATCGTGTAACGTGATAGGGCTGCTTTAATAACTGCTTTGATGACTGCACTTCTTGATAACCACGACGCTTTATGTTTGTTAAGACCTTGGGCGACTTGAAAGTTTGGACGAGAATAGAGTAACAGCTCTGGGCGACTGTATGACACTCTATTCGCTCAGATTCTGGGTGACTTGCAAACTTGGGCGATGGTGTTACCGCGTTCTTGGGCCTCATTATTTGGGCCTTCATCTTGATTTGTTCGATTGGGCTTCGTTCTTTGGGCTATCTGATTTTGGGGATCCTCCAATTGGGCTTCACTCCTTGGGCTGTTCAATTTGAGCTGAATTTTTATGTGTCAACAATTACCCCCCAATATGGTAGAATTAATAATAATTATTAAATTTTGTCATATTCACTTTGTGTTTCCAGCAACATTCGAAATTTTCAAGAATTTCAATCATTGTTTTCTTCTATAACTTGAAAAGGTGCGTCGTTTTGCAAACCCTTATAAACTCCAAACACGCCATTTCACTGCACCATTAAACCACGCCTTAAATTTTTTGCGTCTCTCTCACGATTTACTGTTCATCTCTTACTTCCCTGCTACGTAACCCTGAAAAACTTCATTCCTTCTCAAATGGCTGCTTCATAATCTCAAGCTGGCGACTCCTTTAGTTTTGATGACTTTCAAAAACTTATGAGTCGCCCATACATAACTCCAAGTTTTCTCACGCCCGTCGATGTCGAACGTAATGAGTTCTACTTGGGTTCTTTCTTCAACAATGCAGAGGCAGTTGAACAGGCGGCGGTGGGTCAGCTGTTTCCTTGCACTCATGGCCCTCCTTTTCTAAACTCTCTGCCGCTGGGGCCACTTCGCGAAAGAGGTATTCGCACTTGGCCTAAATCTGATGTAGCTTTTCGTAGGTGGCATGCTCGCCTTGTGGGTCATGGTCCTACTAAGGCACTTTTTGATAGCGCTAGGAGTTCTAATTTGTTAGAAATTTCTATTCGCCCCCCTACTTTTGATTCAACACTCGTTTCGATTGCTTTGAGTTTTTGGTCTCCTGAGTATAACACCTTTATTTTCTCTCTTGGCCCCATGTCTATCACTTTAAGGGATGTTGGGGCCCTGGTGAATCTCCCACCTTTGGGCGATACCATTTTTCCTGGTATCTTGGTTTCTGGTGGCGCCCCAAAGTTTGGTAAAAACTACACCGATTCTTATTCAAGCCTGCAGACCCTTCACAATCATTCGAGCGTTGAGCCTTCCCATACTGAGTGAGTGGCCTTCCTTTTAGTTTGGCTTTATAAATATGTTTTGTGTGTGCCAAGCATAAAGCCCTCCCTGAGTTATTTACCTATAGCGCACGAATTGGTGCGTGACAGGCCTTTGAATTTATGTTCTTTGTTTTTGACTGCCCTTTATAGAGGCATGGCCTCTCTTCAAGCTCAATTGAAGAATGGTGCATCTCCCACTGGCAGTGGACCTCTTTGGTTCACTCAACTGTGGTTGAGATCCTATTTTCCATTGCTTGGTGCTCCATCCATCTCTCGCTCCTCTGCTAGCTATTATGGGCTAGCCATGGAGCCCTTAGCTCCTGTAAATATGTCCAGAAGGGACATTTTTTCATTCTTTTATTCTTTGGATTCAATCCCTTCCTTTTTTCCTTTTCCTCCTTTTTTGACTCCAAACTATGTACATCCCCCTTCTACTATAGATAGCGCGAGCACCTCCCTGCTCATTTGGATCCAGTTTTTAACCGAGAGGGAGCTATTTCATGATATTCTAACTGGGACCAATGCCAAAGCGGGGGTAGATATTTATGCTCCCTAATTTTTTGCTCGTCAGCTTGGTTTTGGCCAAACTTGGCCTGTTCCTCCTTGCTATTCAAGGAACTTAGTTGACCGTTTTTATACCATTACTAAAGCGGAGGCAGAGGCTATAGATACTCGTAATCTTCTTTTAACCAGCCATTTTTCATTAGCCCCTTTCAATTCTAGCCACGTCATTCACCCTCTTTTTGAACAGCTCTGGCCGTCAGTGAAGCACAGATTATTTGCGACTGATGCCAATCGTGCCTTTCATTCATTAGACCAACCAAGCATTTCTTCCCCTCCTCCTGTTTTAGTCACTCCCTTGTCTATTCGGAGTCCTTCTCCTTCTCGTCGCACTAAATAGTCTGCTCGTCCATCTTCTTCTCTCCCTGCCAAGCCTACTACGGCAAAGAGTGCCCCAAACCGCAAACGGCCAGCCTCAGCATCTCCCATTCTGGAGGATGATGTTGATGTTGATGATGATGCCCCTCTCATCATCAGGAGGAAGGTAACTAAGTTGATTTACTTACAAGCATACTTTTTCTTACTTGAAACTTTTCTGTGTGCTGATGATCTTTTGGACTCCTCAGAAAAGCTCAGCCTCTCCTTCAAAGATTTTGGCATCAACAGCTCCTGCTCCATCATCCTCTGCTGAGGCTACTTCATCCAAACCGGTTGATAAGGGGGCTACGCTTAAAGAGACATCTTCAGGCCCAGAGTTCTCATCAGAACCCATGGATGAGCCATCTTCTTACCAGGACGTCAACCCCCCAATCATTGAAGCAGAAGGTAATTCAGTCTTTTGATGTCTTACCTTTGCTTGTGATGTTGGTTTCTAATTTGTTGCTCTTGAGTTTTGCAGATACTCCTATGAGTCCGCCCGTTGTGGCAACATTTTCTCGCTCAGACAAGGGGAAGTCCTCGCGAATGGAGGAGTCGTTGGTGGCAAGCTTGGCTGAGGGCATGCCATCTTCCACGATTGTTGATGAAGTAATCTTTGCTCTACTTCTATTCTTATCTTGTTCGTTGTAGTGAGAATCTTTAATATTGGCGATTTTCTTTGTAGGATGCTGACAAGATTGTGCATTCTATCCAAGACTTGTTCGCTTCCTGGGGGCAGGTCAAGACATCTCGTCCTACTCCATCTGATCGTCCTGCTGCTCTTCAGAGGAAGATTTGAAGTTCCTCAAGCAGTCGATATTGGAGTACGTGTCTTTCATGGATATGGACATTGGTAGGGCTAGTGCTGCCAGACACAAGGATAAACTCGAACATTTGAATGCGAAGTTGGAGTAAGTACTGACACTTCCGTCGCTCAATCTTTCTGCCGATTTTAATGCGACGTTGAAGGTTATCCACTCCAAGGTCCTTTCCTTGCTGGCCAAGAATGCTGAGCTAAAAGTCAAAAGTGCTCAATATCTTCGCGCCGTTTCTGAAAAAGAGTCTCTGCGTCTGGAGATCAACAAGGTTGAGAATGAGTTGAAAGAGATCTCTTTCGAAGTCATGATTGAAGACTCCTTGATGGTTAGTTTGGCTGCTCAGATGAAGGAACTTCAAGCCAAAATGGACGATTGTAAGGCGAGGATGGCTACTAAAAAGCGCAACGCCTCCCAGGGGATTGAGCGAACTAAGTCTTTGGTTGAGCAGTACAAGAAGTTGGAAGTTGATGATGATGTCGTGGCCGAATTGAACATCACTTCCTCTAGGCAGAACGAGAACTGGGAAAAACTTAGGGAACGAATTCGTTCAGTGTGGGGTGGACTGTAATTAAGACATGTGATACATTTTTCTTTTGTAACTTTTGTCCATCATTAATGAACATATATTTTAACTCCTAGTACATTTATTTGACGTTTATTTTGTTTTTTTTAATCGTCAATTCTTCAAGCATTTAACTGCTTTGTGCTAAAAATCTTGTTCATTTTCTTTTGATATTTTCACCACTTTTCCCAAAACTTTGGGCTATTTAATTCCATTTACTAGGCAGAAATGTGGCTGTTCATATTCTGTCTCTTCATCTCCACCCCCCTATAAATGCTTCGCATTTTCCATCTTCATCTTCATTTTCTTCTTCGAAACTAATTTGCTGTCATTGCTTGGCATTCTGACAATCAATACGATCTAAAATGGACTGTTTAGTCCGCCCATTTTATTATTTACCTTAATGTCACCTTTGGTGTGGGAGGTATAGAAAATATTTTCTGGCCAGCAGCGAAGTTTTTACCATCAAAGTTCTTCCCATCGTCTCTTTGTCCTTTACAAGAAGTCGATGATAGAAGGCAATTTTTGTGATGCTTGCGGGCCACTTTGCTTGCTGAGAGTGCTTCTCAGCTTGCTTGCTGAGAGTACTTCTCAGCCTTTTTGCTCGCCACTGCAGCGATGCATTTAGGAAGGTGGTGAGGCCAGTCCACCCTCTTACTCGGCGATCCCACCATTGCAGGGATGCATTTAGGAAGGCGGTGTGAGGTTTACTCAGTGATCAACCGGGAGATTAGCTTACTTTTAATTGTTATTTTGTAGAGCATCCATTATTTGTATTTTTGCATTTTTGTAATGAACGTTTTGATAATAAAGGATTTCATTTGAACATATTTCACTCTGACTTTGTTATCCTTTAATCGTTCAACATATTTTGATTATGCTCTTATCTGTTCACATTCCCATAAAGAAAGAACATATTTTTTCAAATATTTGCCGTTAATGAATCTCATGTGCTTGGTGCCATCTAAATCTTCCAAGTGATACGCTCCATTGGGCAACACACTGTTTATTTTATATGGTCCTTCCCAATTGGGCGACCACTTTCCGTACTTTGGATCTTTGCTATCCAAAGGGAGTATCGTCTTCCAAACTAGTTCACCCAGGTTGAACGACTTGACTATGACTTTTTTATTATAAAATTTAGCCATTCTTTGTTTTTACACTTGTAATCTATCTAAGACGTCCAACTTTAATTCGTCTAACCCCAATAAATTTTGAACTAGTGATTCGGCATACTCATCATCATTCAACTTATGTTGCAAGCACACTCTAATCGATTGCACGTTGATTTCCATAGGCAAAATGGCCTTTTGTCCATAAACAAGTTGGAAAGGAGTAACTTGGTACTTGACCGAGGTGATGTCCTATAAGCCCATAAGGCCTTGTTCAGACATTCGTGCCAATTTCTGGCATTTTCATTTATCATCTTTCTGATGATATTTTTTAGAATCTTATTAGAAGATTCTGCTTGTCCGTTGGATTGAGCGTAGTATGGTGTAGAGTTTACTAATTTAACCCCAAACTCGCTCAAAAATTTGTTCACTTGATCCCCATTCAAAGATGTTCCGTGATCTACCATTAACGTTTGTGAAATTCCAAACCTATAAATAATGTGATCACGGATAAACTCTATAACATTTTTCTGGGTGATCTCTTTCAAAGGTACTGCTTCTACCCATTTGGTGAAATAGTCGGTTGCAACTATAACAAAAGTATGTTGCTTGGACGATGGGGGATAAATTTTCCCTATCAGGTCTATCGCCCAACCCTTGAACGGCCAATGTTTAATAATAGATGTCATTTCTCGTGCTGGCGCCCTTTGTATTGGACCATGCTTTTGGCATGCTAAGCAACTCTTTGTATACTGAACGCATAGTTCTCCCATCTTTGGCCAAAAATATCCACTCCTAATAATTAACCATCTCATCCTTTGGCCGGCTTGATGAGCTCCACATATCCCTTCGTGCACCTCAGCCATGATCGTCTTGGCTTCTTGCAAACTTATACACTTTAGTAATACACCATCAGAGCGTTTCTTAAACAACTCTTCATCTATTAGTATATAGTTCAGCGAACACAGCTTCTTTTTCCTACTAATCCCTCCATTAGGTTCTTTAAGGAACCCTTTGATCTCTGTTCTCCAATCCATTACATCTCCATCTTGTATGCAGTGAAGTTCAATCTTTCTCGCCCTTCTTTGAGTCACGGGCAATATAATTCCATATTCACAAGTAGACTTCCAATCCAAAATCTTTGAGTACCCTGAAGCCATTTGGGCTAACTCATTTGCCACGTCGTTATATATCCTATTAACGCATTGGAGTTCTACTTGATCGAATTCTTCTAATAATTCTTGGGCGATCTTATATTGACTTATAATGGAATCACTTTGGCATTCAAAATCACCGATCAATTGATGGATCACCAATTGAGAATCGCCCCTAACGATCACATTTCTTACTCCCATATCTATCATTAGTTCTAGGCCTACAATTAAGGCTTCATATTCAGCCTGATTATTGGTGCACATTTTGTCTAAAGTGAATGCGAACTTGTAGCAAATCTCTAAAGGATTAATCAATGCTATTCCTACTCCTGCACCTTTAGAGGTTTTTGACCCATCGAAATACAACACCCAAGGTTTTAACTCGAACGAATTGATTTCTAGTTCGATTTCTTCAGGCATGTCAAGGCATGGATGATCGGCTAGAAAGTTAGTCAAAGTCTGATTTTTGACTGCCTTTTGAGGTATATATTGTATTTCGAATTCTGATAAAGCTAGTGTCCAAAGGCCTACCCTTTGGTGTAAAATAGGGCTCGAGAACATATACTTAACTAAATTTCCTTTAGAAATTAAATAAACGGTTACATGCCGTAAATAAGCCCTTAATTTTGTACATGTGAAATATAATGCAAGACATAATTTTTCGATAGCAGAGTAATTACATTCACATTTCGTTAACCGTCTACTTAAGTAGTAAATTGTCCTTTTTTCACCAAGTTGGTCTTCCTGTGCGACCATTCCAGCTATTGATTCTTTTTCAGCCGATACATACACTTTCATTGGCCGTCCTTGGATTGGTGACACCAACACTAGTGAACTTGATAGATATGTCTTCAGGCTTTCAAAAGCCTTTTAATGTTCTTCTTTCAAGATGAATTCGTCCTGATTTTTCAACTTTAATAGCGGCGAAAAGATTTTACTTCGCCCTGCACAGTTAGAAATAAAGCGTCTTAAAAAATTTACTTGGCCTAGAAACCTTTGCAACTCCTTTTTGTTGCTAGGTGGTTTGGCTTCTAAAATAGCCTTCGCTTTATTTTTATCAAGTTCAATCCCTCTCTTGTGTACTAAGAAACCAAGAAAATTCCCTGCATTAACACCAAATGCACATTTCAAAGGATTCAGCTTTAACTTATATTACTTCATTCGTTCAAACGAACATCTTAACTGTTCGAAATGGTCCTCTTCTTTAATGGACTTGACTACTATGTCGTCTGCATACACCTCAACAAACTTGCCTATCATATCATGAAAGATTAAATTCATTGCCCTTTGATAAGTTGCCCCTACATTTTTTAGGTCGAAAGACATAACCACCCATTCAAAACATCCTAAAGACCCAGGGCATCTAAAGGCAGTTTTGTGTATGTCTTCTTCAGTTATATAAATTTGATTGTATCCTGAATACCCATCCATGAAAGAATACATGACATGTCCGGCAGTTGAATCTATTAAAGAATCCACCGTGGGCATTGGATACTCATCTTTGGGTGTTGCTATGTTTAAATTCCTAAAGTCTATACACACCCTTAGTTTACCATTCTTTTTTAGTACTGGCATGACATTGGACAACCATTCGACATATCTGGCTGTTCTAATGAAACCTGCTTTCAATAATCGCTCTATCTCTTTCTTGATTTCAGGGAGTACATTGGGAGCAAAACGTCTAGGAGGCTGCCTATGAGGTTTAAAGTTAGGCTTAATCGGTAACCTATGTTCCATCAAGTCTCTATCTAAACCAGGCATT